TGTGTGTGTGTGTGTGTGTGTGTGTGTGTGTGTGTGTGTGTGTGTGTATGGGGGAGCGGAGAGAAGGAGGGAGGAAGAGAGACAGAGACAGAGAGACAGAGAGACAGAGAGACAGAGAGAGACCTCGATCATGAGGTCAGAGAACAACCTAAGGAGGCAGTTGTCTCCTTCCGCTATATGGATCCCGGGGTGGAACTCAGATCTATGGAATTCAGATCTTCAGTCTTGGTGCTGAGGGTTCTGACCCAGTGAGCCACCTTATACGCCATATCCTCATACTTTAAAAAGCATATCAAGCTGGACGTGGCAGTGCGTGCCTTTAATCCCCGTATTCAGGAGGATCTCTGCGAATTTGAAGCCAACCTGGACTGCATAGCCAGCTCCAAGACAGCCAGCACCAACAGAAAACTCTGCCTCAAAAACAAACAAACAAATAACAAAAAAAAAACACAGCAAGATATATTGTATGGAAACATCTTACTTAAAAATAATTAACTGTTTTTAAAGCATGGTGAGATTACTCTAAAGCTGCATCTGTCGGTGGGGGTCAAACAGAAACTTAAGGAAGGTAGCATCCTTAAGGTAGGAACACGAGTCAGATGATAGAGTGCTTGCCAGCATATCTACCCGGTAGGCTGGTGCTTATGCTTGCAACCCCAGCACTGGGGAGGTGGAGGCAGTTGGATCAGAACTTCAAGGTTGTCCTCTAATATATACAGCTATACCTGGGAAGATGGAGGCCAGACCAGCATGAGTTTTGGAGTTTTCTTCCTGTTGCTGTGATAAATACCCTAACAAAAGCAACTTTAAGGGAGAAAGGATTTATTTGGCTTACACATCCAGGCTATAGCTCATCACTGCAGGAGCTTGTGAAGAGCAGAGAAAAATGAGTGTGTGCAAGGCGAGTGCTCACGCTGCTTTTCCTTCCTTTATGCGGTCCAGGATCAACACCTAGGAAATGGTACTGTCCCCCTTTAGGCTGTGACTTCCTACAGAAGTTGAGGTACTCAAGAAAATCCCTCATAGACATGCCTGTAGGTCAAGCTGGTCTAAATAATCCCTCATGGAGACTCTCTTCCTCGGGCGTTCTACATTTTGTCAACCTGACAATAAACCCGTTCATCATAAGCCCCTCACAAAACAAAACAGTAACAAAATTCAGTATCTACGCCTCCCTTTTCTTAGTCGGGCGGGTTACTGATCTGTTGGGGACAGAAGAGGCCAAGCTTGGAAAAGCTACTGGGCTCTGCACCTTGTCATTGAGCTCCCAAGAAGATGACTCAGAAAGGCCTCTCCTTCGAAAGCAGAAAAAGGGCCTTCCCCCAGCTCCCTCCACGAGAGTGTGGTGTGTATGCGTATGCATGCTGTTTGCACTCGTGTGCTTATGTATATGTGTGTGCATTCGCAGGTCTGCACTTGATATCAGCAATGATCTTCAGTCTGTCTTACACCTTACTCACTGTGGCAGGGGTCTCTCATGTGGCTATTCTCTGTTGCCAGCTTTCTCTGGGGGTCAGCAGCTCTGCCTCTGCCATCTGAAGCTGAAATTACAGGCTATCACACCCAGCCTGCTGAGCTATTTCCCCAGCCCCAGTAAAAAAATGGACTTTCTTCTGTGGTTCACCCAGAAGCTTCATCCCTGGTACCTAGGCTGACGTGAAGGTGCATGACGCAAAGATTTTGTGTCAGGACACATTGATAGCTCCCTTGGACCACACACTGCCTATGACTGCAGGTTGGACATTGGGTGATTTTGATGAAACTAACCACAATGAAAAGAATCCTTTAAGACAAATACTTTTGCAGTGGTACTCTACCTATCTTAATGAACAAAGAGCAAGAATATTAAAACAGTAGGAAATTTACCTTGCACCAAACTCATGACACGCTTTTATTCTTAGTCTTTGTTCCTCTCTCCACATACATTTTTCATGCCCAAAATCAATTTTTTATTTTGCTCATTTCCCCTAACATTTTTCATGTTACTATATATTCTCTTTGTAGTTTTTTAATGTCATTCCATTTATCACTTGAAAGACTTTGAGCAACTTAGGCTTTCTGAGGCGGCCTTCTTATAGTTAAAAAAAAATGGGGGTAATTGGGGCTGGAGAGATGGCTCAGTTATTAAGGGCACTTGCTGTTTTTTGTAGGGGATCTGAGTTTGGTTCCCAGCACGCACACAAGGCAGCTAAGACCACCAGTAACTCCAGGTTCAGGAGATCCATCACCCTCTCTGCCTTCTGTAGGTGCCTGCACATGGATGCACACACACACCTTTTAAAATAATTCCAATGGGGTTATTATGCTTCATGTGAGATTGTGATGAAAATAAAGTTAGAGGAAGCTGTCAGCACAGGATGTGCGGGCATTCTGTAAGTGCTAACAACCCCTGCTCTTTTTAGCTCCATGCACAGATTTCATAACCAGTTCTCTTCTGCTCTTCAGTGTGATCATGTTTTTATATAAGTTTTTCATCGGTCAGGTATTTGTAATGACTTTATTTAATGTGCTTGTCAGTTGATTTTACCAGTATATTAGTTATTTTTCTGTTGATGACCAGTGTCTTTGCTGCTTTTCTGTTATTGAAATAAAGTACGTGCTTAAAACAACGTAAGGACAGAAAGGTTTATTTCGGCTCATGGTTTGAGGATATGATCCATCATAGCAGGACAGGCATGGCAACAGGAACGTGATTCAACTGGCCAGACAGAGAGATGAATGCTGGTACTCAGCTCTTCCTCCATTTAAGTCAGTAAAGGACCCCAGCCCATCAAACGGTATAGTCCACATCCATGGCTGTGGATTAATTAGTCTCTAAAGTCACAGGCATGCCCAGAGGTTCTGTTTCTAGGTGATATGTTCTAGGTTCTGTCAAGGTAGCAGTCAGCATAACCCATTACCACTAGCAACCTTCTAAGGCACAGTCATTTGCAGATGGGAAGATGGAAAGAGATTGTCAACTTGCTGTGACTGAACTGTGACTTTGTCCCTATATAATTAATTCCTATCCCTCACTCTCCACACTTATATGTTTAAATCTTACCCTGCCCTCCATAGGCATATGATTGATTCTGACCCATAATGTGACCCATTTTAAGTTAGGATCTAAAGAAAGTAAAGCTTTAGCCAGGCAGCGGCTGGCCATGCCCTTAATCCCAGGCAAAACTCTGGGTCCCAAGCCAGCATGGTCTACAGAGGGAATTGTAGGGCAGCCAGGGCTATACAGAGAAATCCTGTTTCAAAAATCCCAAGGAGAAAGACAGAAGAAGGAGAACGAGGAGGACGAGGAAGAGGAGGAGGAAGAGGAGGAGGAGGAGGAGGAGGAGGAGGAGGAGGAGGAGGAGGAGGAGGAGGAAGGTAAACTGTTAAAAGAGCCCTGACCTAATAGAGTCTCTATAAGAGACACGGGGCTGGGGAGATGGCTCAGTTAGTGAGGTGCTTGCCTTGTAAGCATCAGGACCCAAACTTGACATGTGAGAATATGTAATCCCATCACCGCAAATGTACAGACAGAAGGATCCCTGGGGCTCACTGGCTGAATAGGTGAGCCTGGGTTCAAGGTCTCTTCTGTGACTCCTGGCAATCTCCTAACTATAATCCCCTGTGCAATCAGAATAAAACAGCAGATCATGTACTTCCAACATTAAATGGCACAGATTATACATTACCATTTAAAAGGGAGGAAAGGGAACATAGTGAGGAAATACTGGACCAAAAAAACCAGCTGGGAAAACTCCAAACATCTCCATGTCTGATGTCAAAGTGCCCTTCACATCTCCAACTCCTTTCAGCTTTGTGACTGCGACACCTCATATGGGGTCAGAAAACTGAATGTTGGGATTGTGAAAAACTTTGTGATGTCAAGGGGTTCTGAACATGTGG